TATAGGTGTTATAAAATCTAAAAATAAATAATAAATTATATCTTGGTTAGATTAGTAATAAATAGTAGTTGTAACTAGAGAATTTAAATAAGTATCTTTCATAGTTAAGATGCAAGTATAGCAGATAGTATAGAACCTTTGGGTGGACTATTTAAATTAGGCACTAAAAGTGCACATGTGACTTGATATACCCTTATTATAATTGTAATCTAAAGTTAATAATATAATAAAAAGTCCTCTAGCTAGAGATGTTATCTTAATACTGAAAAAAAAAACTGTTTTTTTTATATATAAATATTTAAACAAAATAATTTGCTTTATTAAAAACTCTAAATATTTTTGAAAAAAAATTAGTTTTTCTTAAGTATTTTGAATAAATCTTTTTTATTAGATATATTTTACTAAGAGCTTTTATTTAAAAAAATTTTTCCAAATTTTAGAAGGTTTGCTAAAACTTATAAATATAATCTCTATACTATATATTTGGGTTCTCTCTATTAATTAATAAAATTTAAAGATATTAAAAATAATAATAATATTAACTATACTCAAAATAAAAGCAAAAATGGAAATGTTTTGCTTCATATATAAGATTCATTATTGTTAAATATGTTATTTGTGTTAAATATGTTAACTTCCAAAGATAAATTAATCAGAATTGTCATCATACCCATAATTCTTTTGTTAAACCTTTCCCAAGTTCTTTTCGGATTTCTGAAAGCCACAATTTTGGCTATAGATTCAATACGTTTAATTATAATGCGATTTCTTTGATCTCTATAACACCATTTCAAGATGGAAAAACTACATTCACATGCTGTTCGACATGGCAAATCGAAACCATTTTAACAGTTAAATCTTCTGGACTTGCGTGGTATTTTATATTATACGTTAACCACCATGTAAGCGAAGATTCTTATTGAGAATAAGGTTTTCAATATTATTCATATTGAAACAAGTCAAAGTTTGCTAAATTGTTTGTTTTGACGCTAGTCCTATTTTATAATATAATAGTTTGGCTTTACGTAATTTGATAAATAGCGGTAGTTTGAATTTATATCAATACTTTTAACTATCCCTTAAACCGTCAATTTAACTTTAGATCTACTACGATATAGACTACAATCCAATATAATTTGATAGCCTAATCACAGATCAATCACGAAATTTCCAGCCAAATTTGCCTGGAAAACGGTTTAAGGGATAGTTATATCGTTTTTATATAACAATTAACTACAATACGTGTTTATTATGTGATAAAACCCAAACATAGTGATGATAAAAATGTTTAATCGGCATCACTAATTGATATTGATTCGTCGAACTCATAATATTTTATATAGTCCTTTGGACCTTAGTTATATATTGGACAAATAACATTTTATGTTTAGGTTCAGGTT